CTGGTCCCTCAGCACGGGAAATAGCACTTACTATCAACCGTGACGAAACTGAAGTTTAAACTACAATACAATACCCATCCTACGCCTGCCCCAACCAAGCCAAACCACCCCCTAGGGACCCTGGAGGACAGAGTGGAACCGTACCCTGGTGTTCCCGAGGCTGTCAGTCTTTACGGAAACAGTCGGTCACATCTTTTTCCCATGGAGCAGCTGGTGGGTTCGGACCACCAATCTTGGTTAGCAGCCAAGCGCTTTACCCACCACATCAGCAGGACTCCTTGTACACACAACTCACACCAAGAACTCCAAGCCCACGACCTTGACCTGAGAGGACACAGTAGAACTCAAGGCCTCTGAGGGCCTCACCTTTCTTCTGCAGGGCAGCCAGTGGGTTCAAGGTCAGCACTGAGCTCACTGTGCTACCAGGGCTCCTGCACTTCCCACCTGACCCACAACCCCGCTCCAGTACTTACTCAAGCCATGTTGAAACACATCCACACACACGTCCACAGCAGCAGCAGACCTGCACACCAGAAGCACCTCAGTGTCCACCCACCACACAACTGACCACACGGCTCAGCAGCAGGAAGGAATCCGGCAGCAGCAGAGGACACGACCACAGTGGGGACTCTCAGTACGCATTGTACGAGCCAGCCCCTCCGCCCCGGTTTACAGAGACTCTAGAAAGGGCAGGAGGATGGGGACAGAAAGCTGACTGCCTGGTGGGAAGACCCTGGGGTCAAAAGCCAAAATCCTAAGAGACCAGACATACTGGTGTGACAGAGACTAAGGTCTTTAGAGACCCCTCAAACCTGGAACTGAGCCCATTCCCAGGGGCCTGAAAATGAACAGTAACACCCGAGACGAAGAGGCTCCTGGGCACAATCACTGTTACAAGACCAAAAGGGCAGCATCTGCCCCCAAACAGCTCAGCACGCAGGACGGGGCAGGAAGGAAGGACACAGGGGACATAGAGCCCAGGAAGGAAGTGGGAAGAGCGCGGGTACTCAGAGGGATTGTAACTCACGTGACAAAACAAGTGTGCACCACCAGTCTTTGAATGGAAGCTTACACATACACACACAAGACCACCAGCAAAAATCCTACAGCAAAGACCCTGGGAACATCTGCATGTGAAGGACAGCTCTGAGTCATAACGGCAGGTACTCGATTGTAAGGAACCCCCAAACTCCTCCACCTATGGGTGTCAGGCAGGACTGAAACCACGGCTACATGTAACATTGTACCAACAATGTAACAGGGACTCCTATCTAAGGTGAACTGCTAACAGCTAATACCCACATTTGGGTGAATTTTTGTGGCTGACAGAGGGAAGGGGTAGGTGAGTTAGGGGGTAGGAGTCACTTGCATTCTCAGGTGACAAGAAGTTCTACATCTCAGCTGTGACCGAGGCTTGTGGTATGCCTACTTACAAAGACTCAAGTGGAGAGATTTGGGTGCATATAAACGAACCCTGGTTAAGCCTCGGGGTGTCCGAGGGTTGAGGACTACCAACGAGGCTGCCTTGTATTTGCCCAGCAGAAACTCAGCATAAAGGGGGTGGGTTTCACACCAGGGCAATCCTGAAGACCACCTTTGGGAGCTCCTGGAACCCTTGGACAGCTTCAGAACCCAGCAAGACACAGCCAGGGCTGGCTCCTTCCTCACCTGGCCACCACACAGGAGGGGAGACACCCTGGTGTACCACCTGCAGGGTAGGACCACACAGTACTGCCCTCACAGGCCAGTCATGGTGAACGGGACCAGACACCCAGAGCCATCTGCTGGGCCTGGAACTACATGAAGATCTGGATGGTCAGACCACATGGATGGTCAAAGGTCCATCCCACCTGAAACATCTACCTCCCAAGTACCAGTCAATCCCCACAGGCTAGCTGCCCCCCCAGCAGGAGTGTGGCCACTGCAGACCCCTGGCCCTCACTGGCCAATTGCATCATCCTAGCCCCTATACACACATGCACACCAGCCACCTGCCCCTCAGGGAAAAGCTTCACTTGAAATAGGTGAGGCTTCCCTATGTCTCAGGCCGCCAGCCACCCAGCCACCGGCTCCATCAAACATCTGCGGGCAGGTTGCGCATGGGCCAGCACAGCCTATGTTCAGACACCTGACCCTTCTGCGGACAGGTGGTCACAGCCCCGGACCCCCTGCAAGGCTCATTCCAGGAGCCACGGCCCCCACCACGGGTCTCTCCCCAACTGGGTACCGATGGATCAAAAACCATGATCCAACTTGCTCACGAAACCCATGGGACTATTGCCCTGGGAGAACCTTCAAAGCCTGAACCAAAAATGTCCCCTCAAGTCTTAAAACCCAGCAAGCCTTTAGCCTAACTAGTCTAGAATGCCTGTGAGAACCTTCTCCATGAGATCCGAGTGACCACAGGAAGGGGAATGACTCTGAGTTTACGTGCAGACGATGAGGGTGAGAATGGCTGAACTCGGAGAGGTCAACTCAAGAAACTGCTCAGCTGCTGTGTTCTGCTGGGGAGACGCTCCCCCTACCCTGAGGACCACCACTTGGATGTGATGGGGAGGGCAGGGGACAGGAACACACCATCTGGGCCACCATGCAGACCTAGTACAGAGGTGTCCAATAAACACAGGGGCACACAGAGACCTTGGCGAGGCTGGGGAATCCCACCACTTGGTCAATTGCTTTGGCCAAGGTGGAGTCCTTGGATCTGGGGCACTTCAACTTACAGACAAACCCTCAACAACCCTAAGGTCTTTGGAAGCAGGAGCTGGGGAGGACAGGGGACAAGGCTGCCACAGTGGGTCCAGTTGGACCCTGCACATGGTCAACTTCACCAGCAGCCCACAGTAACACCTGGGAGTCTCCACATCCGGGTGGCCCACAGCCAAGTACCATGTCCTACCTGCCTAGAAACGGGGGGCTCTGGACGTTGCCCCACATCATCCCATGCTCACAGCCTTCTTGCAGCCATCATTCTGAACAGCAAAACACTGACAATAATCACAATGTCCTTCAATGTGGGGCTGCACAAATCTGCTACTGATGGGGGCTTGGTGGGACCAAGTGAGGGGCGTGCCCACAAACACAGGCAGGAGAAACATCTCAAAATCAAACCTAGCAGCTGACCACACAGGTCAAGCGCTGCAGGCTCTTAGCAGGGGTAGGGCACTGTCACTAGGTTGATCCTAAGGCCAACCTCTCACCTGACAGGTAGCAAAAACCAAGCAGGAAGGAGAAAAGATGACGAGGCCCAGAGGGGCAGTTCAGCCAACCAGGGGGTCAGCAGGCTGTCAGTCCCATGAGGGCATGAGATGCTCCCCAAAGGGAGAACAGGCCCCTCGAGCTGCCCCCTCCCCCCCGCCCCAGCTTCCCTGCCCCCAGCACCAGCAATGCCAGCACCATCACTGTCGATAACCCAGATTTCAACCAGAAGTAGCGCCCCCCCCTCCAACCTGCATCTCTGCCCCAGTTAGGAGCGGGCGAAATACAGACCTCGGCAAGAGTCAGCCACCCCAAGCTCACCTGCAGGCCATGTGCCCCACTCCCCCCACCCATGCCCAGGAGGGGCCTGGACCAAGTGGGGCGACGGGGGCGGGGGCGCCAGGGGACATGCTAGTAAGAGTAATGGTGAGGAGAGTGGGGGTGGGGAGCCAAGGCAGCAAGCCCGAGACCCGCCCTACACTACAAACGTCCACCTGGCCACCATCTGGTGGGGTCAGCAGAACAAACACGGGGGATGGGGCAGGCAGGTGGCTCCCCACCCTCGAGCTCCCAGGTCCTAGGTACCTGCTCGGCAGGAACCTCAGGGACAGCTGGGACTAGAGCCCAGGTGTTCAACCTCTCCAAGGTCTCCTAGGGAGCTCCCATCCTGTATTCACTGGGGCGAGGCTGGGAGAACAGTCGGTCTCCTTGGACACTGGTCAGCAGGGGGCATAAGAAACTACATACGCTGGCAGATTCTGAGGCCTGAGGGTGGGATCTGGCTCTGCCAGAGGGGGCCCAGCTAGGGCTGCAGACTTGCTGGTGTGGAAAACCAAGCTCCCACCCTCCTCAAAAAGTCAAATTCAGACAGACGTCCACCACTGCATCTCCGGAGCCCATAGACATGGGACGATGGCAAACTGCCGAGATCAGCCCCAAGAACCCCTACCTGGCAGACCACCAAATCTGAGGGTGGGTTAAGGGCCTCTGAGGAGCTAGGAGGCCACGGTCCATCTGTTCCCCTCACCCCACAGTTAAGGGAACAGTCCCTTCTGGGAAGGGAGAGGGCTCAGGCCGAGAGGCTACTGCCCATCAGGTCCCAGGGCAGGAGGGTTACCATGCAGGAGAACCCCCAACTCCCTCTTCCGCTCTAGGCATCATCTGGGGGGCACTGAACCTGGGCAGTGGGTCCCTCATACAAATTAAGGGAGGGGTGAGGTCATGGGGGCTTCAGGGGCACTCAGTCCTGGTCCCTGGTTCTAACCCATCCTAAACAGACTACACGGTGAGCTTGGTCTGCAATGACAAGAACCCAAAGGGAATCCTGAACTGACAGGTCCCAAAAGAGAGAGTTCCCCCCAGATGAGAACCAATTGGGACAGGTTCTTAGGGAACTTCACTGAGCTGGGGAGCAAATGGAACGGTTTCGGGGGGCTCCGGTTTGGAGTTAGACAGAACATGAACCGGCACTGGGTGGGAGCTGCTGTCCACACTGTAGGGTGCCACACTGGAAGCCCACAGCCAAGCACAAGCCAGTGACTGGCCTCTGGACACGGACACCTCCGGTCTCCTCACCACCTTCCTTCCCACCGGGTTCATACATCCCCTGTCTACTTTCCTGCAGCCCTCACCTCATCCAGGACAGCACTGAGCTCCTCCGCTCGGCATTCGAGACCTTACTTGTCCCCTAGGGTCTGTCTGGGTGGTGAATTCTCCCCCAGCTATCCTGACCCTGGAGCCAGATTTCAAGGCACCAGAAGGTGGGCACGGGGGAAGTCGGCCCCTGGGTAGGTCACTGTTACCTGCATAGCTGCCGCTGGACTTGATATACATCTGGCCATATTGTTCCTCCACCATTGTGTCATAGGCTTCATCATCCTCCTCATCCTCTTCATTGTGGTAGGAAGTGGGGCTGTCAGTGGTAGGCAGGCTGCTGGCCCCAGGACTGGTCCTCTCGCCCTGGACGTAGGGCACCGGCTGGATGCTAGGGATGAGGGTGGCCAGGCTGGGCACCCCATAGTAGGAGACTCGGGGCAGCTTGATGGGTGCCGCGCTGGCTGCCACAGTGGCACCCGCAGCCACCGCCACACCATCCCGGAGCCCGGTCTCCATCGAGCGCTTGGGGGCCAGGCTGGAGCCAGTGGCCGGCGGCAGCTCCAAGGCTTCGTGCTTCACGCGGGTCAGCAGCGGGATGGGCACAGATGGGGAGACCACATAGGGCGTGGCGGCAGCAGTGGGTGGCAGCTGGTTGCAGGGGCTTTGGGGCGCGGAGCTGGCATCCTCGATCATGGCGGTCTGCGAGTCGCAGTGGGGCGAACTCACCTTGAACATGAGATCGGTCCCACGCTCCACAATGTGCTGGATCTGCAGGAAGCCGGCTGTGTACATGACCACGAGCTGCTCGCTGGCCGCCATGGTCAGCTTGCCCGTGTAGCAAAAGGATAGGATCTGCTGGAAGCAGGCGGGCGGCACGGTGCCCGGCAGCTCGAAGGCGCTCTTGCTGTTGCCGCTGAACAGATCTCGGAAGTACAGGCTGCTGGCGGCCAGCACAGCGCGGTGGGCCTTGAAGGCCTGGCCTTTGACCACGATGGACACATCACAGTAGAGGCCAAGCAGGCGCTGTTCATTCAGGCAGCCCAACACAGTGTTCCCGAAGTTGGGGATCTCAATGTGCAACATCTGGGACATGGTGGGCAGCGGGTGCCAGTGGGCGCACCTCAGACTCTCATCTGCAGAGAGGACAGGAGACATGGGTCAGAGTCCTGTGGGGCACTGCTGGAAGGGCCCACCATTCCCCCTTAGCCTCTCCCCAGCCAGAGCCCCCCCCCGCCTCCCCCCTCCCCCCTAGAGAAGAGCAGAACTGCCGCAGAAGATGCTAAGAAGGCTCCTGGCCAGTCCCCCAGGCTTCCCAACCCCCCCACCCCTGGGTCCCTGCCAAAGCCCCCCTTGCAACACAGAGGACACGGTTGGGGGAGGGGCAGGAGTGAGCCACTTTGCTCCCCAGGAAAAAGTTAAAGCAAAGGACCTGTGCTTTGCTCCCCTTGGCGCGAGGCCAGAACACAAACACACGGGTTTGGTTTCTAGTTTTCCTCTCTAAGGGCAGAGGCGCAGCAAGGCTGGGGGGGATGGGGGCGGGGGGAGTCCACCACCCGCAAGGGCACCAACGGACAGCAGCGTCTCTGCTGGGGAGAAGGTGGGGTACAGGATGGGATGGGGGCACTAGACAAGTGGGCAGAAGCCCCTGACTGGACTCCCCAAGGGCTGGACCACCTCTGTCCCCCCAAGGAGAGGTCCCGGAGCCTGGATGGTCTTGAGGTTTCAGCCAAGTCTCTGAGTCTCTGCTGTGGTCACTGCAGCCAGGAGTTAGGAGCCTGTCGCAAACACGCACTCGCTGCTTGCTCCCCCTCGTCCCTGCCCCAACGGCGCCAATCCAATCCCACTCGCTCCAAACCCAGGTAACTCAAGGGGTCCCGGGCAGGGACTGGTGTTGGGGGTGGGCGCTGGCTGGTGCTCCTGGGCCCAGCGCTGTCCAACTGATCAGGGTTAGGAAGGGGCGGGGGAGGGGATGGGACGGAGAGGGCTCTGGCCCAACTCAGGGCAGACCGGGCAGTCCATGGCCCGTACAAAGGACAGCTCTGACCTGGGAGCAAGTGCGGCAGCCGAGGGCAGTGGCAGGCGGGGGCGCCAAGGGCGGGGTCCCCAGTGCGGGGCAGGAGCTGGGCAGGGGAGGGGAGGGGAGGGCGCTGCTGCAGAGAAGTTGCCAGCCCAGTGGGTGGCTGCAGCTGGCGGGGGTCCTACCTTTGGTCACTGCTGCCCACACGACACAGCCCGCCCGCCTGTGGGGCCGCTCCGTCCCGCACCGTGGCCGCCCGCCCGCCCCCCGCGGGCTGCTGTGACTGCAGCAAACGAGAGGGCTCGGGGCGGGAGGGCGGAGGAGGGCCGGTCCCGCGCGGGCGCCGCTCAGCTACACCAGCCCGGCTCGCCCAGGCAGCAGCGTACAGCATCCAAATGAAGAGGCCGGATGCAGACGAGCATCCCGGCAGCACCCGGGGATGAATAGCCGCCTTTGATTCGGGCGCCGGAGCAAATGCCAGCTCCCAGCCCGGCTTTCAAAACAGCAGAGTGGCGTTGCCAGAGGCCCGCGCAGCTCGGGTGTTGGTACAAGACAGACTTTTGATGACTCACGGCAATGCAAACAAAGATGGCAGAAATACTGTACTGTATGGGGAAGGCTCTGCGCCTGCAGCCAGCCGGCCCAGAGATTTACGGTGCAGTTTTGCATATGAATCACTCCAGGAAAGGCCTCCCCTACCACCCAGGACAGCGAGTGTCAAAGCATTTCAACTATTCCAAACAGTCTGCAGGGCGGGCGGCCTGTGAAACAACTCTGGGGGGCACAGCCTGGGAGACAGGATAGAAGAGGGGGCAGCAGAGAGAGAGAGGTGGAAGGGGGGGGGCCACACAGAAGTGGGCAAAACGGGGGTGGGGGGGACAAGAGAGAAGGGGGACGAGACAGAGGGACAGAGGAGAGGAGACCAGAGAGGAGGAGGGCAGGAGAGATGTGTCAAGGATAAGGGGACAGAGAAGGGGGGTGAAGGGAATGGGACACGGGGACAAGAAAGGACAAGGGGGAAGGGGCATGAGCAAAGATGGAGGGAGACAGACCTGAGCAGGAAGGAAACCTCTCTGAGGAGACAGAGTTCCCCCTCCCCCCAGAGGCCCAGGCCCCACTTACTGACCCCAGAACAGTGGGCTTAGCTGGTCTGGTCTCAACGCCCCTCCCTGTCCCCTCTCCCAGGGCAGCCACCCCAACCTTTTGTGCCCAAGTTCTTGTAAAAACAGCAACTTTGACAACTGGCTGTGGCCAAGTAACCAGGAGCCCAGAGGACCTGGGTCCTGACTGCCCTCCCCCGCCCCCCACCTCCAGCAGAGTCCTCACCCCACCCCACCCTGTCTCCCAGCAGAGCCATTTGCTAAGTAATGAAATCCGCTGTCTACCAGCAATGGTTCTGTAATATCTGTACCTACTAGTCTCCTGCCTGGGAAGAGGTGGTGTGCGGGAACCCACTCCCACCGAGGTGCCCTGACTCCGTTTCCCTGTGACCACCTCCTGAGACTCCCAAACAGGTACAACAAGCCACCCCTGCAGGGACACTGACCCCTGCCCCACATCCTGCACCCCCACAACTCAGTGCCCCTCCCAGTAACCCAAGAGGGAAGAAAGCCACCTGGCACTTCCCAGTCACACAGCTTGGGTGCCACTCCCCCAGATAAATCCACTGAGCGGGGCAAAGCAGGAGAGTAGCCAGACGCCTGGACAGCCAACCAGGCTCCGCAGGTAACACTGCACACACCTCAACCTGGAGCCACCAGGGTGGAGACACACCTGACCAGCACACCAGCAGTCTCTCATGCTGGCCAGGGTTTAATTCTTACTTGGCAGCCCTACTTGGGGTGAGTCCTGGGACTTGGGGTCCCCACTAAGCTGCCTCCTCCTAGCAGCACCCTCAAAGAGGGTTCCAGGAGGAAATGGCAGTTCCAAATATGCCCAGAGTTCTCACCCATGGTCAGCGGAGCACCCTACTCCTACCAACACCCTTGGGCCACATCCGAGCTGTCTTGGCCCACTACCCGAGGAAGCTGCAGGCCCCACTCCACGCAGCCTCCCTGAGTCCTCAGAACACAGGAAGTCCTATCAAGACCTCACAGATGACAGTGATGCCCCCAGGACAAGAGACACCACGGTGTCCAGGATCACTGGGGCATGCAGAGCCAGACATGTGGCAAGGGGGCAGTTGCTCATGACGGGATGGGACTCTGTAATGGGGTGGGTGAGAGAAGACATGGAGTCAGGGGTCCAGGAAGGGCAACAGGGCAGGTGCTCTCTGCGAGGGGACACCATGATCCCAGTCAGCAAGTCGGGGCTAGCCACTCTGTCCTCTCACTGTGGCCTCAGACAGAGGATACGAGGTCCTTGTCTATAACAAGGGAACAGAGCGTCCTTCAAGGGCTGCCCACACCCTTGCAGAGACACGGTGGGGCTGAGAGGACCCTAGAAGTCCTCTGCCCAGGCGATTTCAGGTGACTTGTCATCACCAGGCCAGCCTCGGAGCCCTTAAAGCCTGCATTCCACTGGCCCAAAAGGAACCATTATCCCCCTGCAAGGTGCCAGGCTGCTGGGGTCCCAGGGGAACACGGGCAGACACTGCTTTTACTGTCTGTCCTCAGGCCACCTGGGAGGGGCAAGGCGGCCCACACCCTGGGGAGCAGGCAGGGAGCGGGTTTTAAGTTGCTTTCTTAGAAGCCTGGGCTGGGGCAAGAACAAAGGTGACCTTTAGAGGAAAGAGAGACGTAGGCTGCCCTCGTGAAAGCTGGCTGTGCCAAGGGTGGGAGGGGGCCAGGGCAAGGATGGACAGGCCTCATCACCTCTTTCTGTATGGGAACACAGCCCGTCCACTGACCGCCTGTATGGGAGCACGGCCCGTCCACTGACCGCCTGTATGGGAGCAAGGCCCGTCCACTGACCGCCTGTATGGGAGCAAGGCCCGTCCACTGACCGCCTGTATGGGAGCAAGGCCCGTCCACTGACCGCCTGTTTGGGAGCACGGCCCATCCACTGACCGCCTGTTTGGGAGCACAGCACATTCACTGACCGCCTGTTTGGGAGCATAGCCCGTCCAGTTCCACCATCCCTCCGTCACCCCTAATGACCAACCAGCCCTCACCAGTCAGGCAGTGAATCTGATCTCCAGCTGTGTGCTGGCGTCCTGGTGACATAACCCGTTCTGTGCTAAACTACAAGGGGAAAGGTTGGCAGTTCAATCCCACCCAGAGGCATCTTGGAAGACACGTCTGCCCTTCGGCTTCCGAAAGTTCATGGCCTTGAAAATCCCACCCAGCAGCTCTGCTCTGCACATGCAGGATCCCTGTGAGCTGGAACCGAATCACCAGCAACTGGTACAAGGTATAACTTTGCTCACCATTTCACAAAGCAGCTGCGCCAAGGAACCCTCACAAACCCTCACTCTCATTAAAGCCTACCCAAATGGAATCTACTTTGGGAAACCCTGCTGGAAGCCCTTTGGTGAAGCTGCAGCCAACTTCTCTGTGTCCCCCACCCCAACAGACACAAATAAGACAATGTGGTGGCCACCCTGTATCCCTTCTCCAGGCTCTGGTCAGGGAAGTTGGGTCCAGGTCCGACCTGCCCCAGGCTCACGGGGTGGTTGATCAGAGCTGCCATCAGAACCAACCAGAGCAGGACCCACAACCGAACAAGGAAAGATTGTGCTCCTGCCAAGTGGAGGTAGGGTAGGGTCCCCCGACAGCTGCTAATGTGGCAAAGCCAGCAAGACACACGACTGAGCAAGTGTTTCAAGGCCAGGCAGCCTCTGCCCGGGGGTCCCTGACAGGTGGGGATACCAGTCTTCCTTAATGACGCCCCGCATAGCAGCTTCATGCCTTAACCTGCCCCAGTACCCCCGTTTGCGCACCCCCAGGACCAACCACGTGCATTCCCACAAGCTCACCACCAACAAGGAGAGAGAGGCGAGATAAATTAAATTATTTTGAAGGATTTAATTTTACCAACCTAATAAGAGGGTCTGGACCTCGGCAAACACATGGTCGTTAACCTGCATGCATGCAGCAGGGGAAGTGAGTGCTCGGGGAAACTTCCAGAAGGACCAA